TAGTAGTAGTAGTAGTAGTAGTAGTAGTAGTAGTAGTAGTAGTAGTAGGAGTAGTAGTAGTAGTAGCAGGAGTAGTAGTAGTAGTAGTAGGTAGTGGGTAGTAGGTAGTAGGTAGTAGGTAGTAAGTAGTAAGTAGTAAGTGGTAAGTCGTAAGTAGTAGTAGTAGTAGTAGCAGTAGTAGCAGTAGTAGCAGTAGTAGCAGTAGCAGCAGCAGCAGCAGTAGCAGTAGCAGTAGCAGTAGGAGTAGGAGTAGTAGTAGTAGTAGTAGTAGTAATAGAAATAGTAGAAGTAGAAGTAGTAGTAGTAGTAGTAGTCGTCGTCGTCGTCGTCATCGTAGCGGTAGCCGCAGCAGCAGCAGCAGCAGGTCAGTACTCAGTAGTATGTAGTGAAATGTGAACCACAGGATTTTTGGGTTATAGCCAACTGTGAAAAGGACTTGTGAACGCAAGAGTCTAGAGTGAAGTAGAAACATCATGCTGGGACAACTGAAGAGATACATCAATGATCATCAATGCAACTCGAAGGAACTCTGCAACATCGCGAGTTGGCAAAGAGCCAAAGCGAGAACACTGGCTGCCATGGTTGCAACGCAAGTGAAGTTGACATAACAAACCAACCGTGGGACCGGTTTGTAGAGGGTCTCTGTACAGCCCCAAAAACCCCAATGCCTCACTCACATGGCCTGAATCCTCTGTCTAAAGTTCTAGCACTGCTTCCAAGAAAAAACCATCTGTCATCATCAAATCATCTTCACCATCTGATCTTCTTGGTCGAAAAAAGGAATGGGATGGGGTTAGTGTCAGGCGGTGTCGACAAGTCAAAGCACAGCACTCCCCCACTATTGGTTTAGATTTTGATGTCACTTGGAGACATACCTATTTTCCCGACCAGTTTCTATTGCTCAAACTGCTGGGGCTCTCAACATATCCAACATGAGACAAACGAGCCAGGGCAACCACAACGAGCACGCTAACCGGCCCAAAAACTGTAAGATCCAGCCATGCTGGGCTCGGAAGGGAGTCGGGGAGTGGGAGAGGCAACAAAATGGTGACTGTTTAAAACCAATCACTAGCTATCGAGTCCCCGTGGCTGCCTCAACTGCTTGAAAGCGCCTTTGAGTGCCTTTGAGTGGTTTTGCCATAAGCATTTCCTTGTCAAACTGTTTCTTTTGGTTCTTGGGTTTAGCATCCACCAGCGGCCCTACTGAACATCTGCCGAGTTCATATCGTGCTATTTTGCTGAAATGATCGCTTTCTTGGTATAACTTAAGATTCATGGTATTTTTGTTTTTGACTGTTCAGCTCGCTTTGGAACATTCCACAACATTCCACAACCTCTTTTTGTGCAATTACACAACGGCTTTCATGTCATTTATTGATGTTTATCGTGCAAGAGTGGAGAAGACCTCCGGTAGTCTTGGGAGGGTTGCATAGCAAATGCATTCCTTTTTGGCATTATTGTGTTGTTTGCTTTACGCCGTCTTAAAACAAAAAATCTCGTTTTGTCAAGAGTTTCTTGCAGTGCCACCACTAACTAAGGGTCAATCCCGAAGGAGGACTCTATATAATCCAGAAAAAAGACTCTGCCAAGTTGCTGTTATCCGGACTCTCAACATCTCTCAACAAAGGAAAGAAGCTAAAACATGGTTTCAACCAAAAATACGTCCATCAAATCCGCCCAATCCTTGCCCGCTGTTGGACGAATGTTCCAGCCTACGATCGAGGTTGTGAACTCACCATGCCTGTCCATACCTAATACACTCCATTCCCGACTTCAAAGATGGCCCCCGCAAACTCTTTCTGGCTCCCTATGCTCAGCTCATGGAAACGGTGGCGGCTCACAATCCACGCGCGCGTACAAATGCTCCGGGCTCCCGCTGGCCCGTGTAGTCACACTCGATGAGGTCCGCTTCACCGCATGGAACGCTGGCTCCTCGACAGGTCGACAGGTCGGTGGTTTCAAACACGAACCGAACACGATGAGGTTTTGAGATGGCAGAAGTATGTGTTGCAAACATGCCGAGGTTTCATGTGCCCCTCAGTGGTAACAGTATGGGCCGCCTGACATAGCTGGGACCTGGGACCACCAACTTGCCAAGTGCCACATCCAAACTCCAGCATCAGTTGACATCTCTTAGAAGTGACAGTGCCAGGTTCAATCCCTCTACTCCCACAATGTTCTTGCAGAAAGGACCAACTCCTCCAAATTTTGCGAAGCAAACTCCTGGCTTCCTCACCCTAGATTCATATTCTGATCCCAAAAGGATCCAAGAATAATTCTGCCGGCTGAAAAAGCCACGGAACGGTGCAAACAGCTTGGCAAGTGAACGTGCTGAAGTCTGTCACATGTTGGTGGTCTGTCTCTCAGGCATTCCGAGGACACAATATATCGAAATTTGGTCTTTGATTTTCATCCGTAGAGGTCATCAACCTTCCGCTGGTAGGTATGAGGTCGCTAGTAGGTTGGAGGCCATTGCAATTAGGTTCCCTTTCGTCCCTTTGCTAGAGGTTGAACTGCCAAGCTGCGATCAGGTCGTTCACTAGAGGTGGCTCCTGTGGACAAGCAACCGGCCCCTCAGAAGGTTGGACCATGCAGTTTGAGACACACAACCGCATGGATGCAAAAGCTTCCATATAGGAAAACATAAACATATGGAACATATGTAAATGATATGATTATATCATTTGTATTATGTACTTCGTTTGTATAGAGTTCCCGAATGTGGCTGAGAGGCACACATGACATCTATATGAGTTTCCTCTTGTACAAGTCTCCTCCGTCTAGTCTAGACTATACTCACATCCCATGTATATTCTCCCTTGTGTGGGTTTGAGGTGGTGTCAACTGCCCACTACGCGAAAACATCCCAGGATGATTCAGCTTGTCCGAACAGGGTGAACGTGGGAATCACGTGGAATAGACCAATTTGTGCAAGACCCCTTTGACCACAAGGTTTGTTTGATACTGTGAAAGTAGACAACGACAATGGATTGTCCGAGCATCAACGCCGAGGCAACAAACAAACATGAACGAAAGCAGGGATGAGCAAAAGGACAAACATATTTTTGAAGGCTTCTTCTTATTGTTTTAAAAGCCAGCTCTTACTTATTCAATTGAGTAGGCGCCAGGCGTTTGGCATTTACTCAATTATATAATATAAGTAAGGGCTAAACATGGCCAAGCAAACTTCTAGGTAACCTGCTACTAGCTAGAGCTCACGCTATCCACTTGGTCCTTAGATTCATTTGCATGGCCATTGATTCTTTATGCATGTTTGGTGTTATGATGCTTGGGGCTCCACACTACTTCCTGGTTTCGCAGCACTGTGCGATCCTATGCGATAGGCATGTTATCAGTCAACATTAACATCTAGGTTGATCAACACCTCTTGTTGACAAATGGTGTACACAGGTTCCTTCTCTGAACCCAACAAACTCAACGCTTTTCTCTTGGAGTGGCAGCTCCTTGTGGACGTGAACTTTCAATGGGAAGTTCTCTTTGTTCAACTCAAGCTTTTTCTCCTGGGACTTCAGACCGGACGTCTAGCGTGTCGGTGCTGGGACGCAGTACAACCGAAATGGATTGCGGATGGACAAGCTATATATAAAGTATTGCAACACACGTTCATGTTCATTCCCAATTCGTGCACCTGCACGCAATCCTACATCGCTGCTTTTTCAACAGGCACAGTCTAACTCGGCTTCCCTGGGAGACAAAAACCGGTAGATGACGAAACATTAAACACCAACATTCTGCTACTCCCAACTTCCTACGCTATACAAGCTATAATTTAGAAAAATCAATCACACATAACCACACACCACCAACAAAGCTGGCATGCCAAACACCAAGCGAGTAACTGCTTCACCTACTTCAGCGCCTCTTTGCAGTCGGATGACCGTTGACAGTTGGTTGCAGGGTCTCTTCTTGTCCAAGTGACCGGAGACTTCCAAGTAAGAAGAAACAAAGAAATCGAGATCGAGAGCCGCTTCCATTCGTGTTTTCGGCACAGTTGGGGCTTTCTGCACAAACTCTGCAACCCGCGCTGATTTGGGCTACCCCACGGCCCTTTGATGCTCTATATATTCGTGAATCAAAGATGTCTGATCCCTTCCCCCATAAGATAACCTGCATCCGCGGTTTAGCAGTTTTCATCTGCTGATTTAGGGGTTTGCGCGACACGGGCCTATTTCATGGGGGAGAAGATGCACTACTGTTTGAAGGTATTAAACACAAACACTTTTGAAACATCTTGATGCCAAGAACAGTTGCCATTCGCAAGGAGAACAGTTTCACGTCTCAAATCAACGGTAAACACTTCGGTAAACACTTCAGACCTCTTCCGACCGCTCTCAAAGATACCTCGCCTGAAAAGGTTGACCTCCAAAGAAGACGCTTGAATTCACCTCCCAAATTACCAAACAACACTTTTCCTGGAAGAAAACGCTTTGGAAGGTTCCTTTTTGGTTCAAGACCTCGCCAAGTTGGCCCTCCAAACAACCCTTCCCGCAAACCTTGCGGAGTAGGAAGGGGAGAATGCCATGATCGTCCCAAAGCCTTGGTGCGACCGACCGGCGGGCGGAGAATGCCAGTCGTCCATCTGATGGATCACACAGCGATCACGCGGCGACATGGTCGTCGGTGCATCGCTACGAACGTAGCAACGGGGTGGAGGCCATTACTACTAGTAGCAAGAAGCTACCAGTAACAAGTACCGACCAAAGGGCTTTCAAACTGGGAAGACTCCCACAGGTTCCAGATTGATATTGGATGATTTTGGTCAGTGACCGGGTGAGTGATTCTAAAGCTGGAGCAACGAAACCTGCCCCTCGCGAGGGATCGTTCCCTGCAAGGCAATTTTCTGCCGCTTCGTGGCTGTAAAAGCTTATTGGACTTATCCCGAATGGTGAAGTCCCGACCTGAGAACAGGGCTGGAGATGGATGGAGAACATTGGAGAACCTTGTCAAGGAGGTTAAACCCAAGTGCAGGACTTGCCAAACTCTGAAATATGCTGAATGCAAATTGCAGATTCGTTGCCTTCCCCAAACTCTTCAACAATCCTTCCTTGGCGCCCATCCTTTGGCCTTCTTTTTGATTGGTGATTGGCGAAGACAAGAAATTGATACGTGCGACATCAGTTGACCCTCATTTTCAAACAGAGTCCGTCCGAAGAAAGTTCATCCATGTTCGTCCATTACATCTCTGAACCTTTCAGTGAATTGGTCCATGCAGAAAACAACCCAGTCAAACCCACACCTTCTCGAAGGATCTGCAGGTTTTCAGCTTGAAGCAGTGCAGCCACCTCCTGTTTTGCATCGATCCTCAGCAAGAATCTGGAGATTCAGGCTCTCGCCAGCCGTCCCTTGGTCCCTCGGTTCCTTTATGGGTCTTCATGGCGAAGCCCGTAACATGGAGGAACATGCGGAAGTGTTGGTCAATTTTCTTTCTTGTGTCATTGGTGGATTGTTACTAGTGCAACTAGGACGCGACCCTTCCGATTCACGGCCCTCGCTCCTTTTTTCTTTTGGAGCATTTGATCAAAAGGCAGCTGGCGCTACCAAGTGTCCATCATGTCATGAATTCAATGCCGAAAGTCGACCGACAACTGCACTCCCCCTCTGTCTCTGCGACGGCTGTAGACAGCACTGCCAAACAAAATGCGCTGCTTGCTCAAACTGCCTTTCAACGAGTTGTTGTGTCTCGTGCACGGTGTGAATCTCAGGACATCTTGTCGCAGGTTGACGCATGCTCTGTCGTTGTGAGCTGCGGGCCCCAGCTATTCATCCAGAGATTCATCGAAGTGGTCTTCCCATTCTTTGATGCACATGTCGTGCAAAAAACAGATCTCTTCGTCATTCCTGTCCACGGTGCACGGACGTAGTCACACGACTCCGAACAGTGAAAGGCCTTTCCGTAGCGGGCGGTCAAGATCAATGGATCAGGATCCTGATCAGCTGTCGGTGGATCCCCGCCTTTTCTTTGGCCTCTTGACTGTGGTGTCATGTTCAGCCTTCTTCGAACCGGCAATGCAGGAATCGGCCCTGCATCTTGAGAACTTTGACTGTTCTGTCCTTCTTTTTTAGCCTCTTCTTTCTGCATTTCTTTCTTTGATGCCTGGACTTGGCCATGTTCTTCCAAGTCTTCCTCTTCTTTTGACTTCTTCCTTCGATCTGCGGACTGAAGCCATTCTTCCGTTGAGCTGAGAGGTCTGCCCCAAATAAGCACAGGGTCAGGGGTCTGGCCATCAGCTGGGATGTGAGGCACTTGAGACAAGTTGGAGTGTGGAGGAAAGAGACACTGTGGCTGAGTTGGGTGTGGAGAAGGTGAGCAAATCGGTGTAGGCAAACCACTAGGTCGCTTGACCTCTTCCTCTTCTTCTTCACTTTCTTCTTTCTTCATCATTCTCATCTTCACTCCCCTGCGAACTGGAGTTCTCGCAGGAATAGACTTCGCTCCTCGGCTTCCTGATCACTTGGTGATCGAATTCTTCGAGGAGCTACTCGGATTGTTAGGGCAATGACAGCCGCTGTGTATACGGCTAGAGCCAACTTCATCACCCACATTCCATCATCTTCTTCTTCATCATCATCATGGCCACCTTGGCTCTATACTCCTTGAATCGCAGCGGCCAAAACGATGACCTTCAAAATCGCTGCGGCTCTTTCAATCTTGTCCTTGAGCATCGTGTTCTTCCTTCGAACTTTCGGTGACTTCATCTTCTTTCACCTTTTCTTCCTCCTCCTGGTCTTTATTTCATCCTTGGTGGATTCTGCTTTCATCTTCTTTTCCTTTCTCTGGGGCTTCTTCTCCTGTTTCTTTCCCTGCCATCTTCAGCTTCTTCTTGAGCTGTTCGAACCGAGTTGATGCCAATGCCTTTGTACCAATGTCGGCGATCATGTGTTCTCCATGGATATGGCCAAGATGCCATAGTCCTTGCTGGATCGCCTGCCTGGCGAAGGTGGCGCGAAGTCGTAGGTGGCGTGTTCGCCAATTTCCTCCATCCGTTGTCAAGATGGAGAGACCCGACTGGCTGTCGGTCCATGACATCCTGTCAACAGCTCCAAACAATTCATCCACTATCACCCCTATTGACTCTCCGGCGATCATGCCTTCGATCACCTCTGTGAGCTCAGCTTCGGCTGTCGACAATGTCACCATTCCTTGACGGCCTGACCTCCAGAAAACTGGAGAGGTGTCTAAAAGAACAACAGTGCAGCCATGACTTTCTTCTGAGTCAGGAGTGTATGAGGCATCCGTGTATACCTGCGCCAAAACTTCACTTCCTTCATCTTCTTCAAAGAGCTAGTGCTGTGATCTCGTGGACCACAGGTAACCTCTCACCTGATCAGCGGCTTCCTTGACAGCCTTTGGGCTTTTGATGACACTTGATCCCATTCGTGAAACACTGCACATCAGGTCAGGTCTGGTTCGAGTTACGAGCCATAAGAGCTCGCTTACCAACTTTTGTGCCAATCGCACAGGTTCAGGTGCTGGCGGCTGTTCATCTTCTTCCATAGCAGCCTGATCTCTTGAGATCGGGATCTTCTTCTTCTTCTTTGGTTCTTCTTCGGTGGCCAACAGGTCTGTCACATAGGTCTCCTGAGAGATCATCCGCCCGTATCTTTTGGTTTGTGGGTTGAGCTCACGGCTAACCTCCATCCCCAAGAACTTCACGGCTTTAGCAGATATATGCTCAGGGGAAGATGTCACCCACGTGTCTTGGATGCCCTTCAGGATGGCTTGGACCCTCTTTGAACCAGTCACGAAAATGTCATCAACATATCATATGTCATCACTAGGCCATAGAGTTCACCTTCGACTCCTTCGGATTCCAGGTCCATCACTTTCCAATAAATTCGGCTCTGATGCCAGGGGAAACAACTGCAGCGTCTTCTTCTTTGTTTCTTCACCATCTTTGCTTTCTTCTTCTTCTTCAACTTCGATGGTGAAGCGCTGTATCGTGTTTCATCTTGACGTTCACACCGCAAGCGAGGTGAGCGACGAAATCCATACACGGCCTTCAAGGGCTGGTAGTAGGTGTCACGATCCAGGAATCCTCTTTCGACAAAATGCCGGAGGCAAAATCAGGATCAACTCTTGGTCCTCCTTGGCAACCATCTTAGCATTCAAGAAGGCTGTTTTGACGTCGAGTGTGCTGGCTTCCCACTGAAACTTTGACGCAGTCCAAACCACGATCCGGAATGCAGCAGCATCTGCTCCCGACGAAAAGGTCTCTTCGGATCTTTACTCTCAAAGTTCCCGCGCGCCACAATCTCACTTTCTACTTCCCTCCTTTTTTACTATTTTTTACCTGGCTTCTTCGTCCAGACAAGCTTCGAGGGAATGATTTCAATTCGCAGGCCTTTCTTTCGAGCTTACCCTTTCATCCTTTGGGATGGGCTTGAGAGCTTGTTTCTCAAAGATCAACGATGACACCTCTTCTTCTGATGGTGGAGGCCATTCGTGGCAGTGTTCGGAGACTTCTTTGGATCACGTCTTCTTCATCTCCTTCTTTCACTTCAAGGCCCCTTTTGAGCTTCGCCGCGACTTGCATGGCGAGAATCGCCAAGTGTGGTGGGTCGTCAACCATCTTCACGGTTTCTTCTTCGACAATTCGCTTCATCCTTAGCATTCTTTCTCTTTCTTCATTCTTCTGTTCTTGATGGAGACATTGGAAGTGCTTGATGGTTGTTTTCTCGCGAAGTCTCCTGCGAAGGGTCAACCCACCAAGTAAATCCCGCTCCAGTGCAATCCACTGTCCTTCAGTAGGAGGGTTGCTGGCCTTGGTGAGGATGCATCGAGTCACTCGAGGTGATTCTCCTTTCTCGACCACCCAATGACCGTGGTTTTCAGGGGACAGTCCAAGATACCTCACATTTTCCATTGTGGGCTCCATCTCCCCCTTTTTCCACCTCCTTTTTCGGACCAGTACCTGCTCCATGAATGGAGGAAATGAAGGCTTCTCCCTCACCCTCTTCATTCGCAAAACTTCATTGCAGTACCTGACTGCCCAGGGCCACCACTTAGAATCTTCGCCACCATGGTGCAAGGCTTTCCTAACCATGTTCTTAACAACTTTGACAGCAACTTCGGCTCTGCCGTTGCTTTGGGGTTCATCACCTGCTGTCTTGGTCAGGCTGGTTCCTCGTCGATTGCAATCGGCAAAATGACCAGCTGATCTGCATGTATCTGATGGACATAGAATCCATCCATCCTCAATCTTGTGATCAACTCCATCGTTGTTCTGGTCACTTCTTTTGACTTTTTGTTGCGCATCGGGAGAGCCATTCTGTAGACCTCGATCCAGAAGTCTTTTGGTGGCGCTTGTTCTTGGCGGCCATGACTCTCCGGTGAATGACTTGGTGCCCGATTTCCTCCTCCTTTTTCTTCGTCATCAATACCCTTTGCGGGCTCATCATCCTTGTTCTCTTCATCTTGGCGAAGGAGTTCCAACAGATCTTCTCCAGCCGCATCTTCACGGTCGGTCAGACCCATCTCTCCTTCCTCCTGTTCATCTTCTCCTTCTTCAATGTTTGGCCACTGGCCCTTTTCTTCATCATCTTCTTCACCTTCGGGCGTTGTGACTTCTTCGATCGTGCACGGAACTGCCCATGTGAAGGCGCCGACCATGAAGTATCCTGACATGAATCCACCTTGGTCGTAGGCAAGCTTTAGAGGACCTGCTGTGTCCAGCGAAAGAACTCCTGAGAGCTTGTGTTCAACTTTTCGACGCGGAGAACTTTGCTGTCTGGTTTCCTGGCAGATTCGGTCATCCCGACGCGGAGGAACGTGACCTAGAGCGATATGCTCCTCCCAAGACAAGACTTTGATCTTTGGACTTCTCTTCAACACTTGTTCGAGGAGAGCTCTTGCAACCATGGACATCATGCCAGGTGGCCAACGAGCCAGATCCCAAGATCCTTGGATTGGAGGGTGGCTTTGAACCTTGACCTGATGATCTTCTGGAAAAAACACCAGATTCCCTGCAATCGTGGTTGGCTTTGTTGCTGCTCCTCCAAGAGGCTTTTGGCTGAATGTAGTTTCGGACCAGCCAAATTCTTCTCGAAGGTCATGCCATTCTTGAGTGTCCCACCATGAAACCACTTCCAACTTGCAGTCGTTGGGTGAAGCCGGTCGTTCAATGCCGAAGCCTATATGTGGACACCCTCGAGCCTTTCGAAGGTATTTGTCAACCATGGCCAAAAAGACCATTCGCCACATCAAACAGTCATCTTCTTTGAGTTTCTTCCACTCCTCTGGAGTTGCATCAGCCACCCCAAACTCTTCTAGGTTCCCCCACTTGCGAACTGGTCAAGTTCAAGGAGGATTGGCCCATTCAACGGCCTGGTGTCGCATCACACTCCTTGTACGGCAGTTTGGTCCACCGATCAGCCCGTGCAGCTTGTTCTCCCACACGGCCCTCATCAAGCCGGAATACGGCCCCTTGTCATCCAACATGTTGTGGGCATCACCCCGCTTCAAGTCCACCTCCAAAAGCTCGTTGTCAGATCCCCCCCGCTTGTGTCCATGCACGCTTCAGGGTGAATCCTTCGTTGGGTCCAGCAAAAAGGTGGCAAATGAAACCATCTCTACTATAGGCCTTGCGCATTCGGCGATTTGCTGGAAGATCACTCCAATCTCCTGGGGAGACAACCAAGCTTTCTTGAACATGCTTGGGCAGCCGAGACAGCATTGGATGAGTCCGGACCAAATCATGCATCCATTGTGTTTCACTTCCAAGCCTTTCATGTTCTTTGAACTTCATGCCCTTCTTGCTTTGTTCGAGTTCCTCGATCAACTCCGAGGCCAAATTGCGAGGCGCTTGAGGGCAACCGTCATTATTATCCACAGGGGGCAGTCCTCGGGTAGGGTGTGTCACTCTCAACTCCCCCTTCGACCACTGTATGGAGCACCCCAGGGACTCAGTCGGCAGCCCCGGTGGAATGATCGGCTCAATGTCCGTTTCATCGGACACCATGACACCTCCTGGTGAGATCAGCAGCTTGGTTAGTTGTCCATCAGCCAATGGTACCTGGACTCGCTGGTTTAGCGACGCGTCTTCTCCTTTCTTACTGGGACGTAAGGCATGAGTTGCCCCCGAATCCAATAGCCCTTTCTTTTCACCTTTCTTCAGTCGACACAGGCGGAATGCCTTTTGCCTCAATGCATTGAGCCTTTCAACCAGTTCTGACCTCTCCGGCGAATCCCCACCCTTGGTCGTTGGTGAAGCGCCGGATGAAGACGGTGTTGAGCTTCCACCCATTCCTTTGAGCATTTCATTGGCTTCTTTGAGGAGGTCTTCGATTGAAGGCTGGTTGTCTTCGCCTCCATCACTCTCCCCCTTCGCCTTTCCATTCTTCTCCTTTTCAACCTTAGCAATCTTCGGCTTTCCTCCTTCTTTTTGGTTTTTGGGCCTGGTGCAGTTCGGAGCGAAATGATCCGGGCAGCCACAGATCCAGCAACGCTTTCGTTCATCCTTCTGGTCGTGTGAGAAGGTGCAAGACTTTCCACGACGGCAACCCTGGTCCGTGACATAGAAACGGCATTTGCCCTTTTCTTTTTCTTCACCTTCCCTTCTTTCTTTCACTTCTTTGAAGTCCCTGCTGGGTTCTTCAAACTTCTTCAACTTCGGAACTTCAGGGACAGTGTCCCTCTTTCTTGATTGATGGCCCATTTGTTCAAGTTCAGCCAACAAATGCTCACTGTACTTCGACACTGATTCAGTCATGTGTCGGAACAGCATCGACCAATGTACTTCGGATGAGCTGGAGGCGAAAATGGAGTTCCGGGTGCATGGAAACCAGCTTCTTCATCATCTTCCCCAATCCACGTGCTAAGATCGTGGGATCGGGTATGGACACACCCACCTCCTCAGCCCGCCTTTTCCACCTCAGCGCAAAGGTCGTGACTCCTTGGCCGACATTGGACGCCTCCACCGGGTTTTGGAGAGCTTGGCCAAGAATGGCCTGCCGCTCAGAAAGGCCACCGGGCTGATAGGCAATCATGCCCTTCACCAGAATGCCGAAGGTGGACAGGCTCTTGGAGGACACCACTTCTTCTCGTAGTGACTCTGGCACTGCGGACAAGAGCAGTGCTGTTGCCCGCTTTTCCAGTCGTGCCCATTTCCTCAAGGTCAGCTTGGCACTTGGTGCAATCTGGTGAGTGAGGCGATCGAGCGGTGACTTCAACAAATGCTTTTGGTACCAGCTACGTGCTTCTTCCAAGGTCAATGACCACCACTCTTCAGATGTAGGGGTCAGGTCGGTGCTGACTCACCCTGCCATTCAGGAAGCTTCGGCAGGTCCACACTATGCCTTATCGTTTCAGGCTCTTGGTCTGGATCATGGCTTGATCCTTGGACATTCGATCTTGGATCTTTTGCATCCCTTCCACCAACTTCAAGATCACGGACAGGGTTTGTTGTGTCACCCCATCACCTTCTTGGGAATCTTCTTTGTTCTTATTCCTCCCACGCCCTGTGGCATCAGTGAACTCTTCTTCATCGACCCCCAGCACGCCTCGTTCAGCGTCCAAGGTCTTCGACTTCTCATCTTTTCCTTCATGTTGTCGACCTGAAGGCGGATCTTGGTCTGCACTACCATTGGGAGTCGCAAACAAAGCTTTTTCTTCCTTCATACCTGCCAGACTGGCCCTCTGCAGGTCAGCTCGCAGCTTCAAGTTTTCTTCCCAGAGCTGCTTCATCGTTTGGCTATACAGCTCTTCTTCTTGGGTTTTATGGAGCATGCTCTGTACATGTTCCTTCAACTTCTTGTTTTCCATCATCAAAAAAATGCACTTGTCGCTTCATTTCATCATCCCCACTTCTTTCATAGCGGGGTTCCAAAACGCTCTCACGTTTCACCCCAGGTCTGGTCCTTGAGCCCTTTCCATCTTCAAGTTCCAGGAATGCTGGGCGTTGCAACGGCGGCATGGTCGAGGGCGGCGCCGATGGTGGAGTATCGAACTGCCGATGCTTGCTCATACACTTCATGCAAGCCGTCCAGCTGTTCTCTGGTAAACAAGGGGATCAAAGGAGAGGCAGAGCATGGTGGTGTGGCTATTGATGCGCTGTTACCCCCGTCCCTGGTTCATCTCCAAGTCTTTCCTCTTCAACTTCCACCTCACCCTCGACAGAACCCACGGCCTCATCGAGGATAGGGAGCTTTGGCTTTGTTCCAGGACGCTTTTCATCTGGCGTCATGAGTTCCCGCGTTCCCTTGGTCGCAGGTCCAAACGATCGTGGCGATCCTTCAGGCCGAGGTGCATCGATCTCGAATCCACCTCAGTCGAAGTGTTCGAAGGCAGCGAAACCTTAGTGTGACTTTCACCTGATGAAGGCACGGCAGCAGTCGACGGGGTTTGAGGACCATTGGAAAGAGCTTTGTTCGATTTCTTACCCTTCCCATCTTTTCCACTTCCCTTTTCATCTACCACTCCATCCTCCAGAGGCAGCTCACCTAAAGCTTCAGCTTCTCGTTCCATTCTCTTTTGTGCTTCTCTTATTTTCTCGCTCACCTTGAGCGAGCTCTTCAGCAGTGGCCTTGCGGCGCCTATGCTGCATCACCGACATTGCGAAGTGGCCACGCTTGGGCTCATAACCTAGTGAAACTAGTACGCGACCCTTCCGATTCACGGCCTTCGCTCCTTTTTCTTTTGGAGCATTTGATCAAAAGGCAGCTGGTGCTACCAAGTGTCCATCATGTCATGAATGCAATGCCGAAAGTCGACCGACAACTAACCTAGTAGCTTCCAGCTACTAGTAGTATTGCCCAGTAATGGCCTCGAACCTAGTAGCTTGTAGCTACTAGTAGCAATGGCCTCCAACCTAGTAGCTTCTAGCTACTAGTAATGGCCTCAATCTACTAGTAGTAATGGCCTCCGACCTAGTAGCTTCTAGCAGTAACGGCCTACAACCTGGACCTAGTAGCAATGGACTCCAACCTAACAGCGATGGCCTGCAACCTAGTTCGCCGCCGTCTTAAAGCGCTGAAGAAGCTTCCACTGCTCTTGCCAATCGATGCTGATGGTCTCATCTTCGTTGTCCTGGAAGCGGAACGGTCGAGCACCCTTTGTCTCAACATCAGGGAACCACAATCCAAGTCCGTTAGAAGGAATAAGACTGAGACAGCAAGTCCGTTTATTTGGCAGATCGATGTTATGATGAGACTCGGATATGAGGCATTCCATTCTATCGACAGGCAAAGCATCAAAACATCAAATACTCCCTCCGCATGTCAATTGTCAATTATTGTTGATTCTTCTGGAGACGATAGGTGTGGTCGGAGGCCACACCACGCGAAGCACGGCTGCTGTGCAGCTCCTGCTCATGCCTCTGGATAACGTGCACCAGGACAATGGTGAGGAGAACCAAGCAGCCAACATTCAAAAGGATCCTGTTGCTGTACGGGATTTGGATGTCCAGGACCATACAGTAAGTTGTTTGGGCACATGTCACACGCCCTCATCAGCTCAGCAAAAAGCAAAACAACCACCTCCCTTTTCCAGGTTCACAATAGAGAAGTAGCACAAAGTGCTTCTCTGCAACACATTCAGCACATGGTTCTTGTTCTTCGTGATACATGGTACAGTACTACCGTTGCTACGAATTGCAGAGAACTGATGGGCCTTACATGGACTTTATTGATCTCTCCTCTCTCCTTGATGAATGCGGGCCCCACAAAGTACCGGGTACTACCCAGTGACCCCAGATTACCCAGCAGCTTGCCCACACATCGCTAGCAATTAGTTTTCGGATCTTCCTGTGGAACCGAAGGTGAGATTCCCCAAACCAGGGACTCTAAGCAGTTTATGCCTGGTATACACCCGGTATTCCTTGCCTTTGTGCGGGTACTATCGTGGGTTTTGTCAGGGTATTCAATGGTGGACAATTCATAGAATGAGCGCAACCTCCAACCTCTTCAAACAAAGAACATGATCACTATCAATATCTATCAATCATGATCTCATGTACTGTAAAATATTGTATAAAATATATACACGACACTGACGTGAACATGAACATGGAGCCACCACAACATATTCAGTCGTGTCCATCTGCTTCAACATCCAAACCATCCAACAAAAGCAGGCTCTGCACTTCCGAGCGGCAAAGCTACATGGCTCGCCCTTGATCGATCAGGGCCTGCTAAGTTGGAGGCCTCGGAAAAACAGCGAGAGGTTCCCGGGGGTTCCCGCGAGGCGACGAGGAGGCGTCCACACCGGGTGTCAAGAGGCTTGGTGAAGAAATCAGATGGTTACATGAAAGTGATATGGATGAATTTAGATGAATTTAGATTATTACCTTATGGAAAATCCTTATTTTTGTTGGAAAAGAGCTGTTGAACACCTATCGAGGCTGCCGAACACAGGAACACCCAGCCACGAACGACAAGATGGAAAGACCTGTTTGCAATGCTTCAAGGTTTGCAGCACCAGCTGGACCTTAGACTCTTAATGACTCTAGTCGACCAAAGCTTCGGAACCGTTCGTTTCGGCGAATCGTTCGGACGGACGCTGCCTGTGCGGTGCTGAAGGTCCAAAAGGCCACCGGCACAGCCGAGCCTGGCGTCGGTGTCGCTCCCGTGTCACATCGAGTTGAAGTGCCAATATGGACTTATTGAAGCTACCAGCTGGGGGCCATCGCTACTAAGTTACTAGGTGGAGGCCTAGAAAAAGAAAAAAAGTCTTGGAGTTCAGGTCACTTGTGGCAAATTCTTGAAGCGCCTATACATCCAATGGCATACTCGTGCACAGCCTCGGGAGAGCCGGGCTCTGCCCGCTCAGAGAGATGACATACTGGGTGAGGGCGACAGGTGGACAGGGTAGCGCAATCCAAAAAATACATATAAAGTACTACTAGTAGCTTCTTGTTACTAGTAGTGTTCTTGCTCCTAGTAGCAATTGCTCCTAGTAGTAAGGCCAGGAGCCCCTAGTAGCGTCTTTGCTCCTAGTAGCGATGCCCTTTAATATATCATAGATTATAATAGTTCCATGTCTTACCAATTAAGACACATCCTCGCAGGCTGTCCCTATTGTTCTTCGTCACCACACACAAGCTGGTCACCAGGTTGCTAAGGTGGTCATTGCACATGCATAGTCGAAGACTTCGGCAGGTAAGATTGGCAGGCTCCGAGCCATGAAGACAATCTTGATTCCTGAGATGTGCACCAAAGGCACAAGGCATGGGTGGTGATCGCATTGGCTTGGGGTGGTGATCCGGCCATGGCTTGGCCAAACATGGCCCACCGCAGTTGGATGGATGTCTAGGCCTTCCCGGCTTTTGATTGCCTAGTGATAGTCCAGGGGACTCACATCATAGATCCCAACGCACACAATGCGTGAGAAGTTCTGTACCCAGCTTCAACACTAGCAGCACAACATATTCCAAACACTAAATACGTAAGCAATACGGCAGTCTGACTGTGACACGCCAGAGCTTGGCCTTGTGCTTTCTCTGGGATTTCGAGGCTCTCACAACTGGGAATGGGACGCTGGGAGGTTCCATCAAGCAATACTCACGGGGCGTCAAAACAAGAATGACTGGTGGCACGCTTGAACAGCGTGGACATACATGTAGCGTTTTTCTCATAGGACTCATCCGAGTCAAGCTCACAGCGTGATTTTCTAGATCAAATTCATTCTGAGTCATGCCATGACCCATCTCTGCCCACGAAAAAGCATCCGCTGCCATCCCCACTGAGATCAAGCAGCCGGCTTTGTCAATAATACCTTCGACGAGCAACGACCAAATGACTGAGGCTCCCAGGAGTTTGCTTGCAATGGCTTGCAGTGGCCTATATATTTACATCTGTCGTCTTCGAACAGTAGGACTCATGTACCTTTGTCTATTTATGTACAGCATGTATGTCTATTTCATGTGCATCAGCTGGATGCATGGGCTGACAAATGCAGCCCAGGAACGATTGAGCCGCCGTAGGAATCGACTTTGTTTGCCTAAAGTCTGAAGATATCTCAAGGCCAAAATTGATCAAGCCACTCTTATGGCACCCCTGCGTGGCTTTTAGGATGATGCATGTCTATCTTGTGTCATTACCAATTGCGAACTTAACTTGCTGCTGCGTATTCACACTCCGGCTGTCAAGTCAAGCATCTGCAAGAATCAAACCAAGCCTGTACCCCTGAATTTTGCGCCGCTAGAACATATCCAAGTCAAGACAACATGTCAACAAACTTTGGTCTGAATACAGTAATAAGATGTAATCCGTAATAACATATAACATCATATAACAACCGTGTCCGCCTCAGAAGACATCCAAGCAAGAAGAACATCTAGGACATGCCATGCTATGTTTTCACTGTCAATGATCTTTCAAGAAGGCCATTGAACGTCCTCAGCCAGTACTTCGTCCTTTTTTTTCAGACTCCAAGCGGCTGGCTCTCCTGGCATAGTCATGTAACAGAGTCTTCCCAAGGGCAAAAGCTAAAACGCCTGCGGCCAAGCGGATGTGAGTCTTCCTTTCTGGCAACTGATGTGAGCCCCAGCCAACCCGAGGCTAGGCACCCCCTAGCCTTTGACAGGGCGGCATGTACTCCCAACACCTTGGCCTTCACAGGTTTTTCAATGATTTCCCCCCACATGAATGTGTCTTCCATCGAAAGGGGCATGCCACTGACACTTCGACCATGGCAACTCCTACAGACTTTTGGACCGGAGTTGATGATCGGGTATTCCAGTAGTTCTCGATGGCATGCAGTGGCCAAGCGCTGTCAAACGTCATGATGTATCATCGATTCAATCGTCAACACTGGGGCCGCCTGCAGTTTTCCGACAAACATACCAATTCTTGCAGAAGTCCTCAAATTTGGGTGACAAACATTGACAAACCAACATCTCAAGCCGACTTTTGCAGCCCATTTCATCCGACTTTGGCAGCCACACGTGATGGCCGCACCTTTTGCCACTTTCATCATGGCCACTTTGAAACTTGGAACAGCCAGTTTTGCTGGTGGCCTGTCTTCTTAGCCCTTTTTTGAGGTCTTTTGCACTGTGACCATTTGTGGGCCCACACTTTTTGCTTTCAACCCCTATGCCGTCGAGCCACTGCCAACCCACAGGCCACCAAAGACGACGAGGAATGCAATGCTTCCACCCAGGACAGCCTCGACATGCGGAATTGGGCTGTTGCGCTTGGAAGTGAGGTTTTGTGATGTTTGACATACACATTAGACCCTTGGTCTGATGCGCCTACCGAATTGGATGTGTTTTCTCACCACCACCCTTGGAAGACTCGCATGTGGGTTTCGACATGAACAGTTCATGTATGTTCAATCTCTGGGCATGAGATCACCCAGTGCCTGGCCATGTCATTTGACCTACCAAGTCAACCAGGTTTAGGGCTGAAGGCGAAAGGACTAACTCCAAAAAAGGGAATCTTGATACATCTGAGCCTGACATACCAAGATCTCATTTTCATCGGGAACCGTGCAAACGCCTCTGACGGTGTGTTTCTTCTCTGACATCCAAAGACATCCAGCTTCAGTCGACTCTTGATTTCACATCTCACTCCTGTCCTGGCCTGGCCTCGCCATCATTCATCTCGGTGAACAAGGGGCCAGAGAGGGCCATGATGGGAAAAACCGGGAGCATAATGACCTCAGTTCAGCATTGGGAGCATGAACCAGTCACCAGCAGTCCAAAGCTCAGCCAAAGAGCTACCCGTGTTGCTGACGACCCTCTCCATTCGACCATTAGTCACAGGAGAAAGCAACGTGGTGCAGGATGTCGTCCCATCGCAGTAGATGATGAGAACCCGGAAGACTGGTGTTACTCTAGATATCTCTGGATGATGCACTTGAACCCTGTGAAGAAGCCGGATAGGTCACAGCTTCCAACGTGAAAGAATAATCGTGACTGTGTCTCAAGCTTTCTCCATACTTGTCGAAAACCTCGAAGCTCTGGGGCACAAAGACTTGAGATCATTGACCAGAACACATCGGGGATCTTCAGGGCTTCTAGGCTTCCAAATAAGGATGACTGAATTTGCTCAAAAAGACCGTGAAAACGGTGCCGGTTTCCGTTTGTCAAATGCCATTGGCCATGAATACGGGGTCATAGACTTGCAAATCGCTGCCCGTGATGTTTACTCAGACATACTGACACAGTGGGGGTATGAAGAACACGCACCATGGCCGCAGATGTGCCACTTGATTTTGCATGGTTAACATCTGTTGGAATCATATGACGCTATATGACAGTACAGTACTAATATGTACTAATGTTTAAACTGGGTTCTTGCCAGTTCTTGGAGGGGTTGATCGTGAGCTGCCAAGGCTCTGGAAGGATGGACGAGACCACAAAAAGCATCATGGCAGCCCAAATGCCCAGTGTTCGACACCAGGCGACAAAGCCTCGGTTTCACTTTCACGGCGAAGTGAGACGTTTTGTACTGACAACGATGTTGAACATGCTCAACTCCCTGGAATATGTGCGATCCGTCCAATAGGGAAATTTGAGCGCAAAGCTATCACACAGGCGCGTCCGATGATTCTACATCATGGTCACAAGAAGAAAAGGTATTGCTAAAAACTACCCCCAAATATACATGCACAGGACTGGGTGATTCAGATCGTGCTGCATCCATGGAACGTTTCAGCAAGACGCTGAGATGGTGATGGTCCAAAATCCCATACCTGGGCTGTCGCTAGCCGCTTCAGTCTGCTTTTGGTTTATACCTGGCTTGCCAAGTGCCACTGTTCTGAACAGAAAAACACCTTAAAATCAGAACATGCGGGGACAACATGCCCTTCCGTACTTTCCCGAGACTGGGCATTCTTGGTGTCTAAGTTTAACTTGCTGGGAGGACAATGTATGCATATATATTTTGTTTGGGGGGGGGATGCAGTTCAATTAATACTCCTCTCATCTCCTCTCCGCAGCACCAAAGGATCGAAGAAACAGCATATCGTTGACATCTTTTGACAGGATTGCCACAGTTGGAGAAGAGTTTCGGAATTGCAATGTCCATTTTGAAAGGCAACACAACAGCAACAAACGCATGAGGCCAGCGGCCAGTCATCTAAAATCCCTCAAAAACTGTTAACATGACTTATCATACTTATATAAATATAATATACACCTGTGATGCTTATGAATGCTCATGCTTCCGTGGCGCAGAAAAAGACCTGTGATGAGGACGATCCCCACCACCATCCTGGTCTCAAACATCGACCGGTGCTGAGACGACTGGTGCCCCACAATGCGCCGCCAGTGTTCCACCCAAATGGTTTGGAGATGCTTGGAGATCTCCCCCCCCCCGTGATGTTTGGAACTGCTCAAAAGTGACGCCGAACGGCGATGTCCGGCCACTGAGGACCGGAACGGGCCGAAGAGAATCTCAAGTCGTCTGAGCCTTCTTTGGATGTTGCGTCTCATGGACGGTTATGGACAGTTTGCTACAGTGTAACCATGCGCAACCCTTCATTTCCAAGTCTACTTTGATTAAGCACATCAATACAACACTACAGTATCAGTCTATATATTATAGATAAATAGACCATATATATATAATAGAACGGAGCCAAATCTCACGTCACCTTTTTCCCTTCACCAGACCTTCCAGACTTCAAGGGAACAAACCGGAACGACCGATGTCGGAACGCCCGAGACGGCGGAATGGTCTCCGGTCTCGGAGTCCCTCCTGATATTGCGTTCCTCCGATTCAAGCACCTTGAGCTTCGCGAAGTCCTCGCGGTTTCGCGAGGACTTCGCATGGGAGCAGCTGGTGAGGTGTCAACAAAAACAAGCCTGGATCTGTGCTGATGCGTTGTAACAATCTGGAACAAAGCAGCCATTCCAGGCGACACTTGAATCTTGAAAGTGTTCTTGGTTTGATTACCATCTCAGTCGCTAGCCCTCCATCCCACTTATTGAACGTGCATTGTATATTCCGGCTCCCTCTACGAGCAAGAAGCTACAGCACATGCAATATGATGCAATGGGTGCTCCCAAAACCGACTTGAAAGGTTGGCCTATCGCTGGAAGTTTTCTGGAGAGTCCTCATACGCAAGCTACTGAGGCTACTGGTGCTGGAGTCCTCTGCATTCAAGGTCACGAACTGGCTCTGATGAGGGCCATCCAGGAGGAGATGCCTTAGGCGAACAGCGAAATTGCAAACCAAGCTCTCTGCGGAACACCGGTTCTATTAGCCTGAAGGGATTGAGAGGCAATATTTATCTCTGGTTTGCCTACAGCTCAACCCCTCTGAGTAAGTGGACCGCGTGTAAAAGTGAGCGGGTAAAAGTGAGAGACCGCCCCTCTGTATGGTTTTTGCTCGCTTGTGAATGTCCAATTATATAATTGTCGAAACAATTCCAAACATACTTCCAAAATATTTCTCAAAACCCTTTACGACAATTTATTCACTGTATCGACTTCAAAACCTTGGCTGCGGACTTCAAAACCTTGGCTGCGGCCCATCCAAGATGCAACCGCAAGTGCTTCCCCTCCGTGTCATTGACAACATCCTGGCATTTCTGACGGGAGATGCACGGAAGGTGAGATCGAAAATGGTTTGAGGGCTTGAATCGCGTGGAGAGTGCCTGTCACAAAAAGGTGACAAGTTCTGTCTTGTTTTGTGGGAGGCACATCATCAATCTTGCGGCCCTTCTTCCAGGCGGCTGGTCGTTTGGAACATGTTGTCGCTTCTCCGGCGCTTGAAGCGTAGAGGCTCAAAGCACCCTTGCGTACTGTACCCACAATAAGATCAGTCCTTATATGGTGTTCACATGTGTTCACAACATCCTTCCATCTACTTTCCCTGCTTGCAGCTTTCCAAAGGACTTCTCGATGACACTGGAGTTCGCTTTGGTACTATTTGTACGAGTAAGAAACTGTTTGGTGTCTAGAGTCTATATAGAGATGTCTAGAGATGTTTAGAGAATATCTTGGGGTTTATATGAATTTATGCTTTGCTGCGAGGCCCCACGCGCGCGCGTGCAGAACCCACGGTTTGCGCGCCTGAATCACCCCAGTTGTCCCTCGTGGAAAGTACCCTGACCTGGAATCCAGGCTACGGACCAACTCCACTTTGCCACCTGCCCGCGGGAGGATCATCGATGGGAACGGCGGGTCGGTGGACGGCATGAACCAACGAGTCTGTAAGGACTCGTCAAAGGACGACGGTGGAACTGTTTAGCCAGCGAAACCGCAGGCCCCTGGTAGTATTACTAAACAGTATCCAAGATAGGTTCTGCACTGCACTCAATATATCTCCCTTTAGCTCCGTTGCTGCACTTGTCCTCGTTCTGCCACAATCTTACGACAATGTCAAAAATTGTCTTACCTGGCAACGAACATGTATGGAACCAGAAAAATATGGTATATATCATTGGGATTCTGGGACGGTTTGTGCTGGCTGCCACTTCTGGGGAGTCATGCCAAACACCCGCGCCCAAGCTGCAAATTCTGCGGGATGATCAGAATTGATGATTTGATGGGCTCTTAATTAGGTGAGTATTCCGGCCACAGTTTGTGCTGTTTCATCCCCCTGCCCTTCCCCAAATAGATTCTTCAACAAGTCAGTTCTGGAGGCTTTAGCACCTCTATGCCCGCGCATGCCCTCCCGGCCCCACAGGCAAGGAACACATGAAAAACCGATTCTTCACACTCAGTTGGCTGTGACCCCATGGATCCGCAAAGGAGCCCCGGGCCATCCCAGATCTATACTGTGAACATCAGTAAACCAACTTCAATGTACATCTCCAACTTCAATGAGACATTGACGTTAGGATAAAATGGAGTAAAAAAGGTATAAACCAGTAACAAACGGTTAAATAAAGGATTCAACACGAAGAAACATGCCGCAAGCCCAAGCAGTCGATCTGAAAATGGTCGCTGGGTCAGCCTTTTTAAAAAATCATTTTCTCGAGTGTTTATCGTTTTGTTCGAAACCAAACCAGGACACGAAGCACATTTTCTATCATCCGCGCCTGATTTGAATCGTGCTCCTCTTGCGTAACATGCCTCAAAGGATCTCAAAGGTATCAAGGACTCTACGAAAGCCTCCTACGAAAGCATCTTGCAGGATATATAACCTTTCATTTGGGTGTCCTTCTGACGATTCTATTTCGATTCAAAATCTTAAATTCCCTCGAACATGCTAAACTGGTGGATCTGGTGGCTTGATTGTGTCCTCACAAAGCCAACATCCCGGGCACATCCTGGGGCACTTCTCACATCATGCATGGCCCACCAAAGGCCGCTGGCAATCGAAAGAGTCGACGAATTGCGTGAAGACTCAGTGACTTGAGAATCCTCCAGAATTGTTCCACCAGGTTTCCCCAACCACAAACCATGGCCGTGTCTGAATGTCAGTGAACGTGAGATTGTGATTCACGTCAGACTCGGGCCTCACACACGTCCCAAACACATCTGGGACAGGACCAAAACATCTCTCCTCACCGCGACAGCTTTTCCGTCGGCGATGCGGTGAGAAGGGCGGATGGCACCTTCGTGATCGGCTGCACAAAACATGATGGCAATCTGATGAGTCTTCAATGGAAGGCCCAATGTTGATTGATTGGGTTGCCGATTTTTGATTGTTTCGTAGGACACTTCGGTGTCTGGGTTCTCGACTTCTGTCATTGTCCAACTTCAATGGACCAGGCAACCGCCAAAGTGCTATCGGTCGCACGTTTATTGTATCTTGAACCTTCGGAGCGCCAGCGTCCAGGTCCAAACCCCTGCTGCGGTCAAAGTACATAAAAAGAAACGCATGGTACTTATTACTGTATAATGGATTCGATCGTTAATCATTGGTTGTTGTGAACCCTTGTCAAACCTCCATGAAATCTGGGACAAAACCGTCTTAATGCTCCAGGTGTTGCACGGGGAGTTTTTCCCTCCAGAGTGCAAGCACAGCCCCGAACCCTTTTGCGGTCCATTCCTGAGGTGTGTCGAAGATTTTTTGAAAGGTGCGTGGAATGCCCTCAGGGCCTTGGGATATATATATATATAAATATGTATGTATGTATGTATGTATGTATGACAATATAGAATCATCATAAAATATATAAACATAAACTTATATAATTACTATAAATGATCACACATGTACAAGGAGAGGAGGATCCTTGGATGTTCCTGGAACTACTGTTTCCACGACCCAAATGGGTCCTCCCTTTGGTCAACTCCGCGAAATCGACTGCTCATCCTTGTGTGATCTTGCACCGACAGAAGTCACAAACCTGGGCGTCGGCCGTTCAAAGTTCAAATGCAATCTTTTCAATATTGAACTGGGGAGGCGATTGCCCTCACAGGGCTTCGTTTTGATGTGGACCTGTCAGCTACAGTTGTAAGTTTCGGAGGTTTCTTTCATTTTCTGAGACGTGACAGTACGCAAGAGCTCTTGCTTTCAGAAAGCTGGTTCAAGAATGACAAGGAACAAAACCCAATCTATTCACAACCCAGCATTGAGTAGCGGTCATCACCAAATCCCCAATGATAGCCATGACCTGTTATGCGGTAAATGAGAAATCACTGGTGGGGGTGGGTCAAACAAATAACTGAAGGGCTGAAGCAGCTTGTTCCCCTCTTTTCTGAACATTCTATTCATTGCTGTTTCAGCCCAGCATTGGGCAGCCAACCCATCTGGCCAACCCATCTGCTCTGCAGTGCCAAAAACATCCAAAACATGACTGCATTCTCGCCGGTTGTCGGCACCCAGAAACCTGCTGTGAATCCAAGTGTCAAAGCGACAGTCCTTCATCGCCTGCATTTGATGCAGCAAGTGATTGTGAAGACATCGTCGCTCAAGATCTTCTCCTATCGCAACCTCGATCGAACGATCATGGGATATGACGCATTATGAAGCGACAAGAGTCCTTCCCAGAGTTTGGTGACCTGCCACCGACCAGCCAGCACAAAATAATGCAAATACGGACGACTGCAAAAAGAGAGGTCCGTTCCCCCAAAAAACCAGCAGTTTTCCGTGACACGCACTGCAGTCAGCATTTCTTGCAGGTCAGCTTGACCAATCCGCCAGGATCGTGGCCAAAGAGTTGTGATGTGACTTGTTGTAATCAACCGTGCTTGGGCAAGTCTTATTGCTTTTGTAGCTCACATAAAATTCTTCTTCGACCTGTCAGACGCTCAGTCCCAAGTCCCGTGGACAAGTCTGGGTGATGTTCGATTTCTGTGCCATGGGGGGCCATGGAGTGGAGCAATCAGCGGGCCGCAACCAGTGAACGACAGTCGGACCAAGTGAAACTTTACACCCACGGTAATTAGAAATCCATCCCGTGAAACGCTTAGAGATCCAATGCCAAGGCACTAACTCATAGGAGTTCTGGAAAGAGCTCCAAGAGTGGAATTTTCCTTGTGGAATCAGCTGGCAGAATCCTAGAAATGCATTGTGTTCCCGCACATAAGTGCAAATTTTGCAAAACACCCAAGTGTTGAGCTTACCGTTGCTGTTACTGTGTGTGTTCTGTGAGTTTCTTGGATGCAACTTTCTGACACGACTCACACAAATAACTGTTAACGACATATGCCTCCTGTCAGGGTTTTGCGGTTTTCGCTCTTTTCCAGGTTTGCGAGGTTTTGGGCATGTTGTTTGGCGGAACCCTCTTCACCCTTGATCAATACAAAGACTCGATCAATCAACGTAGTGTCGAAAAAGAACATGGATGAACGCTGTGAGTTTGTATGAGTTTGTTGGGTGGCTGCTTCTACTGGTTAACGGCTTGGTTGAGCCGGTTGAGCCAGTGTCGTAAGTCTTTAGTTGAACTCCTGTAGTAGCAGCTATAACAATTAAAACATACCCTCCCTGGAACAAACATGGAAGTGGGAAACTCCGTGTTTGTCCTGTTTACAGAGGAAGATTGTCTTCCACGGGGCCACTTTCCACTTCCATGTGTGTTTCAGGGAGTGTAAATTAGTGATGACATGCAGTAAGAGAATCAATGGATGTTGTGGCAACACGTCTTCAGCAAGACTTCAGAAGAGATTTTGTGTGCGTTGCAATCTCTGCTCAAGAAATGAACAAATGGGCCGACAGTTTCCGCGTTGCAGCTGTTTGTTTGGAGGATTTACAATGTATATGGCTCTCCCCGCTGGGGTGGTGCAGTCAAACTCGAAACTGGATAGTAAGCTCTCCCCCATCGCTCTGTGGGTTTCAGTTTCAATTGTCCAAACACAACTGCATCGCGTATATACCGAGTTTGAGGAGGCACCTGGGCAATCCAACAGCCTCGACCTCCCCGAAAGCTCCTCCTGTTGATCTTGGGGAGTACAAGTGAATCACAGCCAGGTAGACAGTATTTAATTATATACAGGCAATGACCATGGACATAAACTGGATTTGACACGTTCTTCAAACATCATGCAACCACTTTGACTATATTGCAGGTTTTCTCATGTTCTTCAACTCTTTTTTCTCCCAAAACAGACCTTCCATGTTGCATCTCCCAGGAGCGTCGTGTGACGACGCCATCAGAGAGGTTGCTTCCAGTCCTTGACAAGTTGGACGAGGTGCGGCTTGCCTCGGCTACCACTCGATTAAGCGACACGATGACCACGAGTCGGAAGCAACGCTTAAAGGAATTATGACTTGATGAGAGTCGGTGAGCCGAAGAAAGAAAGCTCAACAAAAACATGGAGAACCTGCAGCAAGGTCGGAAAAGGTGGAAGTCTTCTACTTACTATGTCGATTCTGTGGATATTTTCTGAGAAAAAGGGCATACCATCTTCCACTAAAAGTCAAAGCCAAACATGCAACGGAACAACATGGCTGATTTCAGAACGGAAGACCAACGAATCAGTCGGAAAAGTTGCGCAGCAAACCACGACTCCTTTTGCCTGGGCTTGTACTGTGAAGTCAGCAACAACTGCTGGATTTGAAGAATCAGCTGTTCACCACGGATTTTCTGCTGAGCCCACCTTTCTCAAGAGATTCTGGGAGTTTGTTCCGCTCAGGGCTTCTGAATCCATGGCGCAGTGGACAGCGGAGGCGCTGGGTCTCTGAGGACTGCCAACGAGAACGTCCTTCGCCTGATCACTGAGGGTAGTGGTTTAGTCTTTAGTTGTTGGATGGATGCGTGTTGTGGGCTGTGTCGTCTCTGAGTCTCTGAGGAAGATTCTTCGGCCGTGGAACATCCTGGCTTCACCATGCATTGCAGTTTCATATGCAGTTTGTCTTGCATGCTTGACATGTACCGGTGCTCAGAAGGGCTGGAATTCCTGGACCCTTTCTGTCTGAATGAAGCCATTTAATTCTATATATAACGGCGCCCGTGTCCTGTCCACTGTTGGGCCAAAGAGTAATGGAAGAAGGTCAAGTCGCCAATACTCAGCATCCCAAGAGAAATACACCAGGAACTCAAGAGGTCTTTACATAAGGTGGTGATGATTGAGCGCCAGAAACCATCCGAGCTGGGATTCTCACGATGAAAACTAACATCTTGCAACCTCATTTGGCTTGCTGGGCGGACACCTTGCTGCGCGGCTGCACTGATCATCAATGTGAGGGTCAAATGATGTCGTCGTATGGGGTGATCTCCCTCCCCCCCAAAATAACCCATTGTAGTTTGTCGTGGCCTGGCAAATGAGCAACAACGCCTTTGTCGGAGTGGCTTCGCCGTTACCCACATCAGCCTCGAAGCAATGCGTGCGACAAGGACGATGAGGCCGACATAGACCGATGAGGGTGGAGAAGCAGCTAGACTACGACTGTACAAAAGACATCGTGCTGAGCACAAGAAAGGGGTATTCAATTGCTCTGGAATTCCTTTCCGGTATGTTTCTTTCAGTTTGTGTATGTGTCTTCATTCATTTGGAACCATGCGGCAATGCCCATGTCGTGATGCAGTTTGCCAGCTGTTCCAACAAGGTCTGAAAAGGTCTGAGCATTGACAATATATATATATATATTTACTGCCTTGAAGCCATCCTTCAGCCAACATCGATGGTATATGGGCCATTCACACCCAAACTTGCTGTCAAACATGACCAAAACAGGACCAAAACATATTATGCGGTTGTTCATATATGTTCATGCACCATGCTTGTGAGTTCTCGAAGGTACGCAAACAGAAACGCAGTCTACACACTTCGTTGTGCTCCGAGAGTCTTCCTGGTTCTCATTCCCTTCCATTTCCTGTCACCCTTGAGTCCTTGGAGCAACAACCAGGCTCAATCCATCCGGCAACCCTTCACTGTGCTCCCCAGCAAGAGCCACGATCACAGCCACCTGACAAGCTTGTTTCACCATCTCACCGGCACAAAAACCAAGAGAATGCACATGTTGTACATTTAAAAGTTCAATGTAGGTCTAGAATCAGCCAAATGAGCCATTTTTCATAGGCTCACACATGCTCAACAACAAGTCTCAAGGTCTCTGTATGGTCAAATTATTTCTTATCTCCTTCTTTACCCATCGGTTGGGGGTTCCAAGGATTGAATGGCTTAAAACAGTCAACAAATAAGTCAAAAGTGGGCGACTGGTTTCAATCACAACGTAGGTTCTTTTGCAAGGACATGGTTGGCTAAAGCTCATGCTTTGGAGGGCTTTGGTGCATTCTCCACCCTTTTTGTTGTCTCATTTCATCACTACGATGTCACTACTCCTGCTTCATGGCTGCTCTTGGCACCTGCGTTTCTTCACAGCATGGACGATCGAGGGCGCGGCAACTGGACCTTTCCGGAGCAAACAACGAAGCTCTTCTGCCAAGCTATTCCGGCCTTGCAGGCCCTCGCGTCTACGTTCTCTGGCAGCTCCAGGATGGTGTGGATGCCTAGGCATGATGAGCTCGCAAAAGGATGTTCACAAAATGTGGACGTGCGTCTTAAGTCTTAAGTCCAGTTTCAGGCCTTTTCGAGCAGAGTGCCGTTCGTGCGTGAGTCATCTAGCATCCACACACCTGAAACAAACATCATAAATACATATAAATATATAGCTATATGATTGTCTGGGTTATCATTTATAGAGAGCACGCACACAACTTTCTCTTCCAAACACCGAATCGGAAAACAGGACCTAACTGTTAACGGGCAAACCCCGGTGCTGATCTCATCTGGATGTTTTGAATGTGCCCCCTCGACAAAATAACTATTCAAAAGCACACAAGAACATGGTCTAATTCCTCATAATCACGTCCGATCTGGAGCAACACATCATCTAGGACATCCTCTCGTCACCGTCAGGAGCAAGGATCATGACTTCATATGACTTCCTTGATTTGCAGTCTCCCCAACAAATCACCATCCGGGACCCACATATCGGTGAGGTCCTGGCCCTCATCGCTGGTCAGGTTGCCGATCCTTTCCAGACCGAAAAAGGCACCACACGCTAGTTGCTCCAAGCAAGGTTTAGACCGCGGAACATCCGATCTGTGTTAACGACGATCCACCAAGTTAGACTGCAAGAGCCTTACTTTGAAGGGGTCATTGGGCACCGGTCCTTCCTTCTTGATCCAAGTGATCGTTGAAGCTGCTGGATTTCGAGCGCCAGCAGTGGGCAGTGGCTTTGATGGGACAAAGGACCCCGTGACTGGCACTAGGGAGCCCTGTGGCTTTACCGCGCTTCAGAAACAGAACTGGGCATCTGGTGATGTGTCACTCGTTGGCTTGCGTTCTGTTCGGATTCGCATGAATCTGATAGCCCGTTCAAGGTGAATGAAATTGCTTGAGGGATTGCCCACCTCGTGTATTACTGTATACACAGTTAAACCGTTAAACCTTTGACCTTTTCTCCATGCAATGGCAATGTCAAGTGAGGATCAACATATGTAATTCCACTCATTAAACCAAACCACGTTCCACAAAAGTTGGTGGGCAATGGCAAAACTACAACCAACATTCCCCCAGAATTCTCATGTTGAACACTGAATCCTTTTCCCATCCCTGGTTTGTTGCTACTTGGCTGATCTTCTCTTCCCTTTCCCTTTCTGTGTTCATTCTTGTTGTTTTGTGTTTTATCTACATAAACTTGATTCAACTATATTCAACACATTTGTATATTTTTGACTAAACTGGTCACATGGGTTGCCAACAGCCACCCTATTCTTTTTTACTCATTTGGAAGGCATACAATATCATACGATGCTGGTGTATTAGGCCGGCTACAGGTTGTCAACCTACAAACGTTCAAACTTTGATAAGGTAGCTGATTGTGAATTAACAATTAGTATCGGTTGTCAACCTCTGTGGACTTAAAAGGCAAATCTTCTGCCATCTTCTGGCTTATTGTTGCCTTTCTTTTCCTTTCATGCACATCTCATTTTATATATATTTATTATAGAGTGACCCTCCCTCTCCAGTCCCGCCTCAAGGGTTCTCCCTTTGCTAGCACGTGGATGCGGGGTAGTTGGGTCAACAAGGTGGTGTCTATGCTGATACCTCGGCATCGATGCAGCCGTTGGACCATCAGAGTGGAACAGTGTAATTTTGGTGCAAACAGCCAGTGCACCTTCACGGCGCAAATAAGGGTATCTTGTCGTGCAAATACTAGCAAACAATTACTAACTTTTGGAGATCTTTATGGATCTTTGTTCGCGAAGAATAATCTATGCGATTTGGTTCTGCACGGTCCCGCAAGTACACAAAACAGTGAGAATTGCCTTTCCTGGCCGTTCTGCTTTCATAGGAAACCTTGCATACCGTAAAAAAACGATGCCCAGGCTGTGATTCGTTGGGCAAGGTGTTACAAACCGCAAACAGTTTCGAACGAGAGATTGCCAAAATCAGTAGAACCACTGATAGGTGTCTTATACTCAACTCCCCACTAAATGAAACTCGTGTCGAACAGCTGACTTTCTGTAGCATGGAACGCTTGTGTTGTTCTGTCGTTCCTCAGCGATGAAGGGCCTTGGAACAACCTCAGCCAATTGACCGATCAAACGGCTCGACTGAGCTGAGTGAGACCATGGCCAACACATGCGAACGCCTCCCTAGAGTTCTGTCTGAGCGGCTAAATTTCAAGTCGCTAGTGTTCATCCAGCGCACCTGGACCGAGGTGTGAGCTCGGCGGCTCAAACAGAGTTGGGCTCGACAACGGCAATGGTATACACATGTGTACACTAGGTCCAACCTTCTGTGCTCTTGAAACAAGCGTGCTAGTCACCGCAGATATTTGCAAGGCTAAAGCAAATGAAGGATGACCAAAGCCGATTAACGCTCCTTCAAAGCACATGGTATTCTGGGTGAGTAGCCATCTGTGGCGCTTCGTGTTTGCAAATAAACCCCAGCTGCTCTCCAAATGTAGGTTTTGACCGTGCTTTCTGAAAAGGTTTCACCACTCTCAGCAAAAAGGTAGCGCCAACCCTTTTGTGCCACTGGAAGAGCTGTTTTCTTGCTTGCGATTGTTTCCAAGAGCATCATGTCGGTTACATGCCCTCTGAGACCAATCAAAGATCAGAAAGAGGAGTCGTTTTTCTAGCGCCACCATGGTGAAGTCGGGCAATTCTTGGCGTGCTGCTTCTTACGGAAGACTTGAAAATGATATCCGTAAAAGAATTGTTGTCATCTGTTCAACAAAACTTGCACGGCACTTTTGGCAGGTCAATCTAGGTTTGGTGAATTTTACATGCCCAAGGATTCCAACAGCCATTGATTCAATGATTCTTACCGAACAACCTAGTGTTTTACTGCATTCAAAGAGTACTAAAGATAGACATGTTCTATACATTTATATACACAGTTTTACACTACAAAACCAGGTCAATCATATCCAAGATGGTTCTGAAAGGCTAGGGTATGGGTACCACGACTTGCTCCACAGTATCTGAACGCTCCCCATACACCCCTTACCGCACAGTGGTGGTGGGCTTGAAGGGCAGCAAGAAGTCACAGGAATCGCTCTACCAAAAATCAATCAAAGTAAAGAGGCCGTAGAACAGATTGCAAGTGTCTTACTCTGCAAGGACTCAAGACATCTGCTCCTCATCCCTCATATTAAAAAGAACAACGAACCTCATGTCTGAACGTCCTTTTAAATCTGATTCACCCCATCCTGAGCGGCCAAATCCTACCAAACATGCATGCATGGGCTAGGAGACTCGGCTTCTTAATGCGCTCGAGGCACGATCTCTGGTGCAAGCGGGACATAAAGCTTCGAGACTTGAAAGCGTCCAGCAGGGCCCGGTACCTCGTTTGCTCGCGACGTTGTTCGTGAACGAACGCTGGAGTGAGGTCAAGCACCGTCTGGGTTTCAAGCCGTTTGGTCATGGACATCACTTGTCTACCGAGAACCACCTGGCAAATGGAACCTCGCCCGGCCTGGCCCCAGATCATTGTTTGATATGTTTTTGGACCTGACATGCCCCCGACCACCTTCTTGATCTTCAAGAAACTCACTAGGCCAGGCTCCCAAAATGGCAACTTCCCACTATTAATAGGACCTCAACACAGCGACCCTCACCACCAACACCCTTGAAAAAAAGCACCAAGTGCGCAATGCAAATCCAAACTGGTCGAACAAAATAGGATGCGCGTAGTCTTCAAACGTTGTCACACGAACCTTGATCAGTGAATCATGAACCAAAGGCATTTGCACTGCCCTCCATGATGCATTTGTAGGCGCTTAGCTTGGAAGCGAAACTAGACCCCACATTTCTCACCAACTGTTGCAACCGTTTATAATCGTTTATATATGAACTCCATGTATGTCAACAACAAAATAGTAAAACACACAAATCGACAAACACTCAGCGTGGCAGCATGCTTAGATGGCAAAATCGGGGCATGGCATTGGTAAAATGAAAACAACACCAACACCTTTGGGTCGTTTTGGGTCCCTGGGTGTTATTTCCTTTGAGCCACAGTCAACCACTCTTCGCCGCCGGATTTGCTGCGCCCTCCTCCTCGCCTCGAGCTCCACGAAGTCCACGTCCAACGGCATGGAGCTCTCCGATACCTCCTCACGGTCCTCGCCATAGGAGAACCATACCGACCAGACCCAAAGAAAAAACCGGAGACACCACAAGTTCACACATCTCCTCCTTCCGGTCTGAGTCAAAGAGGACACTGTCCGGTGAAGGGGAACCAACACATGACGGGTGACGACTTGGGGTTCCAGAGCCAACATGAACACAACTAGTTGTCAAATAGGTGATGTTACCCAATTCATCCCAATTCCACAGTTTTTTGTCCTCCTCTTGGGTGGACACCCGTATGTTGGCTCACACAGTTTGATCACCAGCAACAAAACCAGCTGCCCAACAATTGATCTGCTGGCACTTGTTGATGAGAGGGCGGCTAGGCTGAGACTAAGTGGCACTTTCCAGAGGGTGTCCATGCGCTGTCCTTGCGCCCAAGCCAGGCTGTTCCAGCAAAGGGCAACAGGAAAAATAGCAAAAGAGGCCTGGCCAGGTTGCTCCACACCGTTGCAACATGCGTGCCAGTGGCTCTAGCGCTCAAATTAAGGGATTGGTACTTTAGCTGTAGCTCTTCTTGACTGTTTTTTGTGGTCTATCGAGAGTTCATGGTATACCTTGCTGCGACGTACGTGTGTTTTTTCAAACTCTGTGTCTTGACTTGTCTGTCTCTTTGTGATGTTGAAATTAGGGGGACCATCAATCAGAACATTGAAGCTTACATGGCTCAGGAGCACTGTCGACCGAACAAACCCTGAGATCCAACTTAGATGTCTTACAAATGGGGGGTGGGGCGCGGGGTGAAACAAAAATTACAGGGAGTGACCCCCCATTTGTTACAGCAGATATGAGAAAATAGTTGAATATAATTGAACTCCAAAGGAGAGGGAAGTTATCCGATCTCTCGTATCCCTCATTCAGAAAAGGCGTTAAGGAAGGGTCCTGCGTCAGTAGCATACCTTGCCTTGACGAAGCAATGATAACTATCGAAGAGCTTGAAACAGAAACAACATACTAGCGCGGACCATTGGATCTTTGGCGAGCTCTTCTCACTAAAAAGTCTTATGTTCTATGACGAGTCAAGCCGACCTGGATTGATGCTGGTTGGACGATGACCAGCGATCGGATGAACCTGAAATAAGCTTTAAGAAGTGCCTCAAAAGGACGATTTTCATGTGCAATCTTCTGTTGGACAGAAGAAGAACACTCCGAAATGCCAACAAGTGATTCCAAGGCCAATAGACCAACTGTTGACCAATTCCTGTCACTTCCTAGCACTTTCACCACCTTCCGAAAGTGTGAGCTGGATGTCGCAATTACCGGCTTGGAACAAATGTCACCAAGTGCACACCCCCAAAAAAAAAGCTAAAAGATGGACAGCATGTACTGTATAGTACATTAGCTCTCCTTCAATTTTATCTTGAACCCCACCACGACCCCTTGAACCACACGCCTCAGTGTGCGACCCTTGCGGAGTTGCCGCCAGCCCATGCTTGGGGCGTCAGCCTGGGCAAAACGAGAGGCCAGCCAAGCAGCTACATTGCAAGAACTTGCGGAGCATTGGCAATCTTGTGCGAGTTTGATTTTTGGTGTGCATGCAGTTTTACTGCAGGTGGCAGCTATTGAGTGATTCTTGGCATCGGACCTGATCCCAATGCGGGTTGAGGTTTCTAGCATGGCCTGGGGTCCATTCTAGCATAGAATGGTTCCTAAGGTTTCAATCATGAGTACATTTCAAGGCTATTGGAAGGCGACTTGTTTGATTTGAGAAGGACAGCCTGGTAGGAATCTAGCATAGTTCGTGCTCTGAGCACAAAAAGTACTGCCCCTCCAAACAAATGTCAACGTGATCACAAAGTCATGAACCTCCCCCGGGCCACGCGGACTGTCGCAAAGTCCGCCCAATGTTGCCACGCAGCTGGAGGGCAACATCTAGAGTTGCCATCTTCCAGAGAAAGCGGCTGTATCCCTTCCATGGATTCCATGGCAGGCAAAAATGGCTGGCTTTCGAAACCGCCTAATCCCTTGAACCCTGTGGATCTTCTCTGGAAAAAGTTGTTTAATGTGATTTAACATGCAAAAGCCAAGCATGTTCTCAGCTCCAAAATGCAATTGAATGCTAGGACAAGTCGGCAAACAGCCTGCCCACAAGCACTAATGAATGGTTTGTCCTATGTAAATATCAGCTTGAACATCTTGAACTGAGGTTTCTCTTGCCCTGCGCTTCCAAAAAGTCCTCTGGCGTGGCTTCCAACATTGGACTATTAAGCCTCAAAGTGCAGAATAAGCACATCACATTTTAACTAGAGTAATACTCCCTGCCTGAGCCAAAATCGCAGACCCAATCATTAAATCGATTTACAGTACAGTAAATTGTATATCAACTTTGCAGCAGGTAGACATCTCAGGCAAACTGTTCGATTGATTCTTGGATGACCTGTAGGCCCATAGGGTATATTCCGGAATGTACCTGTTGCATTTGGTATCCTTACACGATTTCAGGTGCAAGAAGCTGCTCATCAAATCGAGTCGATCATCCTAGAACAATACCCCAACGGTCTGCAACTAGATTTCTGCGAATGTCGCTGTCTGCAAACGCGACACACTCCCTCTGCTCTAGCCGGACTTTACATGTTGTTGAAAGAAAGTGTAATTACACTACTAAGTATTGTAACGATACTATGTCCAAACTAAACCTGAGGAATCGTCAGGGGTGGTGGGTTTCTCATGCATCCGTGTTGCGCAGCATCTTTTGCACGGAGCCATTGGCCTTGTCCTATTCTCGTGGAGTGGCATCTTGCCATCCAACAAACTTCTGGTGAGCACAGTCTGAGAACGTAACGTCATCAGCATCATCAGCTATTTAGCCTTCTCTTCTTTCTAGATCAAGCTATTTAGCTGCGAGCCACGAGTCACTTGCACATTGGACCTGGCGCAAGCACTGGGCAGAGCAAATTCAAGGACTCCTTGAAACAAACCAATGAGTTATGAGTCCAATAAGATTCCAGATTCGCAAGAGATTGAGTTGATTACCATCAATATTTGACCACCAATACACTCTTTTGTGGAATGCCGGTGTTGGAAAACAACGGGTGGACTGATCCTTCAATCCTCACATGACATATGTATATATATATATAAATACATACAGTATATTCACATTTAGTTCGTCTTTGCATAAAGTCTCAAGTCTTTGTCTTCAGAGTGTCACGAGTCACCTTTCTCTCTCGCATCCAGTAGTAACAGCCTGGGCATGCCTGGGTGCAAGGGGTGTGCAAATAATAGTAGCCACACCAAGGTTTGGTGGACATCAAGGTTTCAGGGTTGACAGCAGAAGCCATGAACCTCAGCAGGACCAAAGACTAGTTACAGTATATACAATATACACACACATACATCATTATAGTGTGTATCCACCTTCTAGCTTCGTGGTTCTGTCATCAAAGTCGGCGCTCTCAGTAGGCAAAGTAGCTCTTTGGTGAGCATGGCTTCTCATGCTGATTGAACACTGGTTCAAGATGGTGCAAGATAATATTGGACTATACAGGAACACGGGTATGTGCCCTGACGAAACAGGTTCCAATATTCATGTGCAGCACCTGAGACCAAACATCCATTCATAATCATTCATCATGAATCATGATTCTTAGCATTTTGAGTGGTTCTTCGACCATGTGGGTCTCTACATGGCTCCTCCCACAGTCCTTCCCATTGCACCCGCCAGCCTCAAATATGCGATCGGTCCTACCCGTTCAACCGGCCCAGGTCGCACCCGGTCCAGCTGCCACCCAGATGTGGACACAAAAGGAATAAGGATGAATAAGGAATATCACACACATCGTGTGTGCCACTGTGTGTTTGAATAGAGATCCACACCTCGTTGATACATATTATATGCGATCAAAACAAATCAAGCAAGTTTTACCTTAGAAATCCACATATATCATATTATATATATATATATCCACTGTCTTGGGAAGAAGAAATCTGAAACACTACTACCACGTTGCTAATACTTTGACATGTCTCGACAGTTGGAGACCCTAAAACTCTCCTCTTGGAATGTCTCGGCACTTCCCCATCCATTCCATTTCATCCTTTTCTTGGAGGCAATTTGAGACAGCAATTTCCCCCATGCCCGTGCCGCTGCGAGCCCAGCTCCCGCTCTGGAGCCAGCTGCCGACCGCCCACTTCCCCGAGAGCCACCTGAACGGAGCAAATCTACATGGCTGCACATAATAGCGTCCCTTGCTCCTAGTAGCGAGGCCAGGAGCCCCTAGTGGTGTCCTGCTCCTAGCAGTAAGGCCAGGAGCCCCTAGTAGCGTCCTGCTCCTAGTAGCTATGCAAGTAAATCACCAAATTCCTGAGAAACCATGCCAACCCAACCTGCCTTTCCAAAGAATTTTCAAGACTATTTGTTCGAAGTGCGTGTCTACTGGTTCAGGATCTCCACCAACTGTATTTAGCAAACTGGCAAACATCTACATGGAGACTGTCCTACAACCTTCATCAGCAAGGTGAATAGGCGTGCCATGACTATGTGTTTTGTGTATGGGTATACTGTATATAGGCTGTATAGGTGCCAACACCTTAGCAAGACATAGTCAATGCCTCCAATGATGCAAGTCTTACTTTTGACCCCACACTGACCCACATGAGCCACACTGGCCCTAGTCGTCCAACCAACAGGGCACATGAGAATCATATCATGAGAGGGCGAATTCTCCCAGATCTATCTGTCTCTGTGATCTGCTAGGACAACGTGCTTAGATGCATAGCTACTAGGAGCAGGACGCTACTAGGGGCTCCTGGCCTCGCTACTAGGAGCAAGGGACGCTACTAGGACAACGTGCTTAGATGCTTGCTTATGATACCTTTTGGTTGCCTCTCTTGGTGAGCCTGAGCGCCATTCTTTGTCTTGTTTCTCTGCTTCCAGTCTCCACTAGTCCCCTCTAAATTCCAACCGCTTAAGACTCTAGACCATTCTCAAGGTTCTGTCTGGCACTGCATCTCACGCTCTTTCACACCCCTTTGCGCACCCGAGTGGATTTGGGGAATTCCATGGGAGGAGGCACGTCGTTGCCATCTCCCAAATTGTCCTCCACGAGCAGTACCAGCGGTTCAGGGGTTGAGCAATGTGCAAACGTTGTGGAATATCTGAGAAACTAGCTGCGACCTTGGGGACAAAAGAAATAAATACATCCCCTCTCTGAGAGTGCATTGTCCCATGCTTGAGTTGAACATTAGTATACGCGTAGCAGGGCAAATGACCTGTCGGCGGCCTGTCAAAAAATGCCGTTCAACTTCATTTTTGTCAAAATGCTGGAATAGGGATGGTCCCATCAACAAAGAGCCAGATTTTGATATATCTATGGCCCGCATGGTTCTTGACCTTTCACCAACTCAAACACATTCAAAAACCGATTCTTAGTGTGCATGCCAATCACGCACCTCAAAACTGGTGGATCTGTCAGTCTGTCCAAGAATTGAGCCCTCAATGCCCCGACTGTCAGCTGTGAGCTGGACCATACCTGCACACCCAGTGTGGACAGCACGAAAGGAACCTGCTTGCTGGTGGTTCAAACTGGCCATACCTACTACTGCTACTGCTACTGCTACTGCTACTGCTACTCCTACTCCTACTCCTCCTACTACTACTACTACTACGACTACCACTACGACTACCACTACGACTACCACTACGACTACTACGACTACTACTACTACGACTACTACTACTACTACTACTACTACTACTACTAGGAGACAAAAAGATGCAAGATCTCAAGACTCCTGCCCCTGACTTTCAGTCTCTTCTTGGAATGTCACCTCAGCAACGTTTTCCCAGGTGTGCCCGGGTTCCTTTCGCCACCTCCGCCGGGGTCCCTTCAGCCGGATCCTTGAGCAATGCCACAGGCTCTGAAGATTGGCAGTTGGGCCCCACGCCCCCTCCGTGGCCGTTCAACATGCCTCCCGTGGACGACGTGCGGGGGGGGCGTCCCAGGTGAAAGTGTATCACGAAAGAAACGGATTGCCTTCAATTGATGGCTGAGAAGTGAAGAGGGATCCCTTCTGAGACGGTTACAGAGTTGCGCGATGCGGCTCGCCATCGGATGAATCTCTCCGTCCGGGATGAATCTCTCCGTCCGTATTGCACTCTGGGCCGACCAGAAAAGTCTCCTATAGGCTGTGACGTTTGTGAATATTTGTGAATGATTCGATGCATCCCTACACCCTACATCTCTCACCTAAAAGCGGAGCTCGCCCAGGTTGAACTCATCACTGCCTGAGTCTGGCTTTGGACTCGACATTGACATCATCGGCAAAGCCTGCACTGGGCCAGCACCTGCAGCCCGCTCGAGCAAACGGACCACGCGCAGCAGTGTGGCCAAAAAAATCATGTGCCTGAGAGGTACTCAAAATGCCCCCCAGCACTGCAAACGCACTCGGACGTAAGAAAAGTCAACGAACGTCTACTCTGTTTCCATGGGCAAGGTAACTGAAACTAGCTTACTCGTACATTAGCACACAACATGAAGGTTAGAATAGGTTAGAAGCTGCCATAAACAAGGAATATCACAAGAACACTCACAAGAACATACTATTACTACAGAATTCGACGTCTATGATTAAACACAGAACACAACGAACATAAAAAAGGCAGTGGTTGTCTCTTCTTAGGCTCTTCGAAACGGACGACTCTTCATATATATTTGTAGTAAAATCATGGTAAGATAATATAATATAAGATACAAACATGGAATAGTGCATAGAAACACTAGCATCAAATATGCGGGAGAAGAAACATGACACAGGTGCACCAATCGTATGTGTGAGGATCTTATATATATATATATTATATTAGCATATATATATATAATATATGTATAGTACTTTTTGACCGCTGTTTGATTCTTATATTGAGGAGTATATTGCAGTAGCTGTTGCAGTATCTTTTTCTTGTTTTTCTTTTTTGTCACGTTTGCAAGGATTTCAATCATTTCTCTCCGACTCTAATGGTACTTTTGCAGAGTTCCAGTGGTTGGCCCAAGCAAACCTACTGTAGTTGGAGCCCTATTTTGATCGATCCATTTCTTCTCTTCTTTCTATGAAGTGTCTGTTCAAGCTGACCTACCCAACCTCCACAGCAGCTGGGGCGTGAAAGAGGACTCGGCAAGCCCTTCGGAGACCCAAACGTTTGCGAGGTATCCAACAAATAGGTTGTATCGTCAGTTCAATGAAATCACCAGTTTTGGGTGATTTCCTTTCGTGGTTTCTATTGATTCTACCGTTTCTACACCCCTGGACTATCCCACCCGCCCTGTTGGGCCCTTGGGCTCCATCGCCTGTCCGGCTCCCCACCGAGGCACGGGGCAACTGCGATAAGTTGCTCCGCCGCCGAGGCAGCAGCGCGGGCTGGGGATCGGAGTCCGAGGCCGGGGGGAGGCTGTTGATCCTCGGAAACGGACGTGGAGTGAGCTCCGATTCTTGGAGGATGAACTGTTGGCGTTGGTCGGCGTTTCTAAAAGAAAAGAGGTGTACTGTCTTGACATGTTCTGAAGTGAACTGTTACTGATACAGGAAGGCCTGGTAAGGGAATGCATTGCACGAAGAGAGAGAGAGAGAGAGAGAAGGGTTGTGTTTTCAAGTTGGGGCCTTTGTTTCTATCAGGACAGTTGTTCAGGGGAAATCCCGCTCCGTCGAAGGTGTTTTTTTCTAATGCAAAAAACACTGGACAATGGCTACCTGGATCACCACACCAAGAGATGGATGAACGCACCTGGCATCAAACACTGAAAGACGGAGCATGTGATATTTTGGGCCGCGAAACGGGCGAAGAAACATGTCAAACCAGCTGCAACACACACGCAAAATGGGAGCAAATCAGGGCGGGAACGATGCAAAACGCAAACTAAGCAACCCCAACCCCCACCCGAGCTTCAGGCATAGATGGGATGCTGATATCAGTCATTGTTGCAAGTAGCCACTAAAGTACGTGAGGTGTATCAGTTATTTGAATGTGTCAAGTTTTAATGTTTATCCTACTTGGCTCTTTGTTTCCCAGACTTGCTTCCAAGCAACATCCCCTAATTCCCCACAACATCCAAACCTCTTCCACAGGGCATACCTCTTTGAAGTCTTTCCCCCAAACAAGCCCCGGCCCTTCACAGCATAGCATCTGCTCGCGCACTGCGGCGCGGTAGAAGCGCAGCTCTGTGGGCGTCGGCGTGGCAGCCAAGTGGCGGAGCTTGACCTTCGATGGTCGAAGTGGCCGGCGAAGTTGTTACTGACCTTTGAAGATCTACAATGTAGCTTCAGCTCGTGATGGTTGGAAACCAGCATAATGTTGGATCCTGATTAGTAAATAGGGCCCCCCCCCCCTCCCTCAAACAAACAGGAGGTCCTCTATAATAAACTATCACCAAAACAAATCTGGATTCCTGGTGAGGGATCTTTTGTAATTGATTGTAGTATTCACTATCCTTTTGCTTTGCAGCCTCAGATCTTCAGCTCAAGAGAAGCCCCAAGCTTTCAGCTTCTTCCTCAGCTTCCATGGCTTCCTAAGTAAAGGAAGATTCCATGAGCAATTTTTCCAGTGGAAAAAACTTTTCACAATTGAGGACCCAAAAACAAATTTATTATTGAGGATCAGGTGCCTTCCTGGTCTACTACCTTGAAAATTTGTTTAGGA